CTGCAGCGCATCTTCCATCTCCAGGCCTCGAGACGCGAGCGAGGGGGCGAGGTCGCGAGCAGCCCGGCGCGGGCGCGAGCGAGGTTTGTGGTCGCGAGCAGCCCGGCGGGGGTCTGCTGCTTTTGTGGTATCCCGTCGTCCATTTGCGAAAAGGCCGCCCCCTGGAAGAAATGAGTAACATCTGTCCAGTTTTGATACTAGGTCCTCCGGTAGAGAGGTTAGAGTAGGGTACTGTTTTTTTTTTGGGGGGGGGGGGGATTATTTTTTGTGTAGTCTGTTTTAGCAGGGGAACCCTCCCCAAAAAAAGGTAAAAGGGCACCACTGGGGGACCTAGGATAGATTCCAACTTTAAAGCCAACAGGGGAAGTATGATATATTCATAAACAAACGGAAGCCTCCATCGCGCCAAACCAACAATCGAATCGATAATGCCAAGTCTGACCGAACAACTCGGTAGCTTGCCCTCAGGATAGATGCGATGGAGAAGGGGGGCAAATGCCAGCCGCATGGTATTCCCGTATGAATCATGGAGTTGACTTGGTTTCGACCTAGCTTGTGTCCTTGTTTGACCACTTTCAAACTGCAGCGTAGCTGCATCATCTTGGAATTTGGCTGTCCAAGTCACCAAGTAAATATGAGTTTGCCTCTTACTTTTCTTTTTGGGGAACCAGGGGCCCCTTGTCTAGTGAAATTAGTCTTGGTAGGAGATCCCATGACCACCCAGAGGAGCAGCAAGTGAACCCTATGGTATGTGCTGAATCACTTGTCCAAACAGCATGACGCACTTCACGCCACGCCATTTTCCCGAGGGATGAACATCCATGGTCAAACATTTGGCTGTGGGTCAAAAATAGGTTCCCAAAATGGAACCCTGGTGTATAAATGGAAACATGGACTAAAAATCCTGCGGTCCGATTCCTTGTGGGTTGATTTTGACCCATACCTTTTTTTCCATATTTTTCCATTGCTGAGGATTGTTTGATACATGTTGGTTTTGTTTCCAATGTGGGTGTGGCTCAAACTTGAGCCGGGGTTACTGCAAGAAACGTGCCGCAATCCATTCAACATGTCTGAAGCGGCCCTGGCGACCTGCACCTGAGAATTCCCCTGCTAGGTCCTCCAGTAGAGAGGTTAGAATAAGGCTACCCGACTTTTTTTCTGTAGTCGATTTTAGTAGGGGAACCCTCCCAACCAAAAAAGGGGTGAGAAAGGGCACCAATTACTGGGGGACCTAGCCTATTGCACCTTTCCCTTTCCCTTCAAAGGGTTACCAAACTTGCGATCAGTGCGATAGGCAGGCAATGAGAAATGGAATGACCCCAAGAAAAAGCATCCCCTGGGCCCTTAAAGGAACCCCCAGGTGCATTCCCTCATGCCCTACTGAGCACCAGCAAGAAAAAACAGGATACATATCTTGAGCTGTTGATCGCCGCGGGAAAGATGGTATGTGTCCAGGGGTATCTTTCCCATTCTTTCCTGGCATCCTTCTTTCTCAAAAACAACCCAAAAACCTGGAGAAACAGCTGGTTGTTGAAAAGAACGATGGTTGAAAAGAATGGGGAGTCAACCCCTAGAATGTGGGCCACTCAAGACAATTCCGATGAGTCATCGTCGGCTAAGGTTTTTGGCAAGAGCCCAGCCTTCCAGGCCCCAATGAGACAGCGGAAAGACACGAAAGTCAGCGGTACTCAATTTCATAAATTTACACTTGCCACTCGGTTGCGTTCTGCTTCCCTGCTAAAAGTTGAACTTCAAGTGGTTTAATGGCAAAAAGTTCAAGTCCTAACATCCAAGCAAACAGCACCAAAGGCCATGTCTGCTTGTTGAATTGCCTTGACCCTTCGCACATCCTCCAGTACAACCCTGCACTTAGCGTGCTGACATGTGATTGGCGTCGCTTGAACGTGGCCTCGATTCCATCGATGATCGCAAACAAAGTCCAAATGAGCAAACTAGCGAACAAACACAGTGGGATGTGTCTTGGCCCAAGAATGCAGGATAGGCCAACTTGCCAACCCCTGAAACTGTACTCATCACTGCCGTCACTGTTCGAACAAAAAGGATACAAGAATACTCCGACAATGGAAGATGGTCGTGGTTCCCGAATGCACACGCGCAAGATCTCTAAGCATCAGCTAAGACATTTGGGGGGGTGTCCTTTTTGTCGGCGGTTCTACTTTTGGTTTCCCATTACCATCTCGAAAAAAGACACCAACACACCCGCTTGGCACATAGGGCGCCGGGCGCTTGTCGCGGAGGTCGATGACACTCTCGTAGATCTGATGATCGCAGCCCTGAGCGAGGGCCACCAAAGCGCTTTGGTGAGCGAGGCTTGGTAGCGCTGCTTGAGAGAGACTCACATGGCTGGCCTTCTTTGGACAAATCCACGGGTGCCCCTGGTAACTGGGAAATCACACCGATCTGTACAGGTGGAATCCATCAGCCTAATGAAATCAACCTCAAAAGGAAAATTCATGGCGGCTGAGTGCTTATCGCTCGGAGCGAAAGCAGCCTAGAGCTGTACTCAAATCAGGCTTTTCGCGGCCCAAGCATTGTGCACAGGCTTGTGGAAATGGCTCACTTCCATATTCCCGCCAGTTGCCTTCCTAATCTTGCTGGTGCAATAGGCAGGGAATGAATGCATGACTCCAAGAAAAAACAATCCCTTGTGGTTCCTTTAAGGAGATGTTTAGGTTCATTCCCTCATTCCCGGCTGAGCACCAGCAGGCAATGCCCACTTCTTCGTTGAAGAGGCCGCTTTCAAGCATCACAAGAGTGGGACCGATGCCCCTTCGGTTGGCAAGCCTGATTGCACGGGAACCCGGCAACTCGAAGTATCCCTTGGCGGCAGTTCCAATGGGTCGCCCTAACTGGGGGGTAACCGTCCTCAGCACTACGTATTGCTCCGTGGTTGCCCGTTTCAATGCGAAGCGAGCTAACTTGCCCGGTGGTCCACATCGTTCCTGGCTCCCACCAGGTTTGGAACTACAGGTCACATACACCTAAACTCACGCAGTTGAGGCCACTATCAGCTCCCCCCTAATTGGTGGTTTGGATTGGTAGTTTGGAGGTTGGGGGCTTATTTTCCATTTGCTCTCACCGAAAACCAGGGGTTGAAACCCGAAAACCACGAACTATAAGAAGTAGCTGATACTACTTAAGGGGGGCAGGGTACGTAGTAAGTGGATAGTAAGCCTGGTTATAACCCACTTACCATGGTGATAAGTCTCTTAAGTGGGTTATATCACCAGGCTTACTAACCACTTACCGCCCCCTTGAGTACACTACACCAAATCGCAAAAAAATAAAAACACCAAAGATCTCCCCCAGTCTCAGCTCTGACGCGCGGAAGAGGATGCGCAAAACTTGGCTGGAATTAGGACCCCAGCAACACATGTTTATTTTTCCCTGTCGAAAAGAAAGGGAACCCCAAAAAAGCCCCCAAAAAAAAACAGGGGGAACTAAAATAACCCAAAAAAAGCAAAACCAAAAAAAACAGGGGGAACTAACATTCTGGGGAAGGAAAACAAAAAAAAAAAACGCGCGCCTGTGGGGGGCCAACGTCGTCGTCCTCCATGTCCTCGTCCTCATCGCTCTCTATGTCGCTGCCCTGTCGAGAGATCCAGAAGCATAGGTTCAGGGCAAATAGATGGGTTTCCCTGGTAGATGATTAACCCTCGGTTGCGAAATGTGCGAAGCCCTGCTAAAAGTGACTAACTTTTAGTGGTTTAATACGGAAAACCCAGTAGTTGGCAAAAGGTTAAAGTCCTAACAGCCAAGAAAAATGCACCAAAGAAACCACCAGGCAAAAACCAGGAATCGAAACCCATCTATTTGTCTACCAAGACAACCAAAAAGGACGATGTCCAGAAGCTGAAGACTCGCTGGGCTGTTCGGATCCGCGACTAAAGTATGTTAACCTTTAGTGGGTTCTGATTCTGTGAAAGTTGCCTGAGGGTTTCCATGTGGGTACAGTGTCACAAAGAAACCTTGGCAAATTGATTACTGATTGAAAAATATTGCCAAGGGGATGATTCCAGTGGCTAGGTCGCAACCACTGGTCTGTGGCCGAGAACATGGCCAGGTGTCCACTGCAACTGTATTGCATTCCTTCGGGCTGAGAAACTATCGAAAGCACACAAATACCATTTACTGACCAGGCGCTTGCCGGAAGTTTCCCAAGATCTAGCTGCAACTCTTGTTTGACCAACATTGTTCTGCCAGCACAAACTATGTTGCTTGCCCGTTGCGAGTTCTAAATCGAACACTGCGCCGCCAGCTTTCTCAAGAGGGCGCAAATATCCATCCCTGTGAAACATTCAGCGGATGGTACCAGTAACTGTTCGCGAAAGCCATGAAGGCGCAGAAACCAGTGCCCAAGGTGCTGGCGACGGGAAACATTCAACAAAAGGTTGTCACAAGCCAAGAACTCCTTCTGGCATTGAGCGTAGCATCGATCTGGCACGAACCTGATTCCTAGCGCCTCTCATTTACATAAAACGGAATACCTTCCTTTAGCCTTAGACTTAGTGGCAGAAAAAAACAACTTCGGAAGACGGGTGATGTAACATGTCGCAAACTACGAGAGGCGCTTGTGCTCTTGGGGAAAGGTCCCTCGAGCGCAGCTTTCAAATTCCTTACTCGCAGCTTTCCATGCATTCACGTAATGACCGAGCTCCGTTCTCGTATGTTTTGCTCGCTTGACACCAGGGTATCATCGGGTAAAATGGTAAATGGGATGAACTTGCGCACGCGTGTAGTTTGAGCTGTTGGTCGCATAGACTGGTGAATCAGGAATGTGTATGTGCGGCCTATTCAGTCTGTTAGGTGCAGAGCTCAAGATCTCAGCACTGTTTTCGCCCTTTCTGTTTATTCAGCGTGTGCAAACATTGGACATGGTTGTGGATAGGGCGGGGCATTGGATGCACTGGGACCGGCATGGGCATAGGACACACACACACACATGGGCAAAACAACACAGACACACACGCGCACATGATCCGTCAAACGTACCCTCTTCGTGCAAGTGGCGTAGTGCAAAACATGCGAGGGAATTGACCCTAAGGTGAAGAGGCGTAGGGGATGCATCCAGAACTCGGTTGTTTTCTGCTCCCCTGCTAAAGTTTATTTTTTGGTGGTTTGATGGAAACCACATTCGTTGGCAAAAAGTTAAAGTCCTAACACATCCCTTGGCAAACTGCAAAGAAAACGAATGGGATGCGTTCTGGTTTTGCCTTCACAGCCGAAGCCGCCGCTTTCCCTCTGAGAAGGTCCAACTCGCTCGCGCCTCGTCGTCTTCGTCCTCCTCGTCCTCATCGAACTCCTCCTCCTCGCCCTTCTTGCGCTTCGATCGCTTCACCTACGGGAAGTGACGGGCTGACGGCTCGCCGGCGGAGTGGTCCGGCGGGAAAAAACGGAAAATGGTAGTGATAGATTCCCTTTAAAACCAACAGGGAATAAAGAAATAGTCTGAACCAAATGGAAGCGTGGGTGTGTCTTCGTTTAGGGAGGCCACCCGAAATGGATCTCGGGCGTCCTCTTGGTGTCCCTTGTTTTTTATAAGACCAACCAAAAAGGGGGTAGCAACTCTCAAGAACGTTCAGCCACGCACATGGAGGTTATGATTGAAGGTCTAACTTAAATGCGCGCGTGGAGATAACCACCAAGCGACAACTTGTTCTTTATTTTTTATTTTTATTTTTTATTTGTTGCAATTGAGTGCCCTTACTAAGAAGCGCAGTAAGGAGTTGGTCCTACCGGCTCAAAGGGCCATTGCTTGAAAGCCGTTTGGTACGATGGCTGCAGTTCCCACAGATTCCTCTGACGGTTTTCGGACTTTTTGACAGATCCAGGCAGTAGATGTGAAGCGAGGCTTTGTGAAGCAGTGCTTACTGCTCATTCCGTAGACTTCCAACATAGGCCAAAGTCTCCTTGTCATCCATTTGTGACTCCCTTCAAAACCAGGGGCAAATACACAATAATCATTGCAGCAAATCAAAGTCATGGAATATACTTCCTCGGGAAGAAGCATTCAACTGTTGGCCCCCACCCCAACTATGTCAACGTGGCGGGGCAGGGGGCCAGCCCCAAGGATGGCGTGATTGCCGATCTGTTTGTGCAGGCTTGGAATGCTGCCGTGTCTCAGGTTTCAAAATGCAGCTGCTTTTTGGATGGGAGTTCATACAAGCCATCTGGGATTCCAATACCATGCGGCCACTTTGATGAACTCGATCGTGCTCCAGGCAAGGTGAAGCCAGCAGCACCGCGGAGCAAGCAAAATACACGGCCGGACGATACAAAACAATAACAAGGAAACTTGACAACTTGCATTTCTGGTACGGGCAGGGGGTGCAATATGGTAGAGTATGGCAACAAGTCGTAGACTGTGGTAAACACTTGCTAACATATGGGTCTATCATTCTTTGAGGGTACCCTTTGTTTGGTGGTTTCAAAGCTTTGAAACCGCCAGGAACACCGAACTCCACGTTGGGGGGCCGAACAAAAAAAAGAGACGAGCCACCCATACGTTAGCAACACGTTTTCCCGGCATGTCTGGGAAACGACGTGTTCGGCTCCGAACTTCCGCCTTCTTCTTGTAGACCTTCAGCAGCGCGCTGAGGAAGGGGGAGTTCTCCCCCACCAGGTCCGTGAACTCTGCCTAGAGCAGAAAGGACCGGAGTCCAAGAGTTGGACAAGTGAGGTGAATCCGTTTTGGCTTGCCCCCCAAAGGAAGGGGAAAACCAAAAAGCGGTTTTTTGGAAGCACATGGAAGCACGAAGTCAGGTGATGTTTAGCTTTCCCGCATTCACGACACACACACACACACACACGGCCTACACATACGCTGAACAGCCTTTTTCATTCATTTCAGGGAGTCCTTGTCTGCTGGTTGAAGCATGTCGACAGCATGCTTGCCATCTCCAGTCCCCTTGCCCAGTCTTCCAAGACCTCCTTTGAGAACTGTACAGCCAATCACGAAGACCGGAAGATGCTAAACCTCTCGAAAACCATTCTTTTGCTGAAACAAGCATGAGGTAGCACAAGCTTCAAAACGCCTGGTCATTAAGTAAGCATATTTGAACCAACACTTTCCGGGGGAATGATACTCGCACTTCCAGGGCTTGGCCAACAAATTGTACGCCACCAATCCCTCGAGTGAGTACTCAGAAAGCTGGACCCGCTCGGACTTAAAAGTACAGGACCCGCAGCCGCTAAAGCCCTAGAGAAGCTTTTGAGCCTGGAAAGCTTCGTGCACTCAACGCGGAGTCGAATCTTCATCGAAGCTCCTGTCAGGGATGTCCTTTTGGCTAGGCAAAACTCTAAAATCCTCCATTTGCTTAGGTCCCCTGAGAAAAAAACAATATGTCCAGTAGTGGTAGATTCCCTTTAAAACCAACAGGGGAAAATAAACAATATTCTTAACCAAATGGAAGAAATGTGTATTCGCACGGCACTTGGCAACGTGCCTCAAACGCTTGGCAAGCCCTCCAAATACGACTTCAAGCAGCCTTCTTTGAGCGAATGGCCCTCCAACTTGATCGTTTGGTCTTTCTCCACAGGCGTACAACGCAAACTACGTCCTCCATTGGAGAGCTTAGAACAAGGGTACCCTTTTTGCTGTAGTCGATTTTTGTAGGGAAACCCTCCCGCAAAAAAAGGGTAAAAGGGCACTACTGGGGGACCTAGCAAAACATGTCGCAATACTCACCGTAACCACATCATCTGCAACGGGCAAAATCCAGAGAAAAGAACCAGGTGATCACCCACTGCGGTGAAGACTGGCATCAGAAAAACTCCATCACTTGCGGCTGGCAGCCACCCCACCCACCCCACCCACCCCACCCACCCCACCCACCCCACCCACCCCACCCACCCCACCCACCCCACCCACCCCACCCACCCCACCCACCCCACCCACCCCACCCACCCCACCCACCCCACCCACCCACCCCACCCACCCGTAGCTTTCCGAGAAAAAGACACACGCAAGGGCCGCTTTCCTGGTCCGACGAGGAAGCCCGGCCTGGAGATTCTGCTCTTGCGTGTGCCACTCCTCGATCTCTGCCTGGAAGCATCCCGCAACCACTTCTCGGTTGCTTTCCGCTCCCCTGCTAAAAGTTTAACTGTTAGTGGTTTAGTGGAAAACCCGTTGGTTGGCAAAAAGTTTAAAGTCCTAACATCCAAGCAAAATTCACCAAAGACTTTGCGTGAAACAGGAGCTGGTGGCTCCGAAAGGCTCCCTATTCAACAGCCATTTGGGATACACCCGGCTCCGGAACGGTTCCCTTCCAACCACCAGCTAGACAAGCCTCAAACATGTTGGTCTTCTCAGCTGAGCAGGTAAAAAGCCCCAAGGGCTCAGCACGATTCTGTTGAGGTCAAGGGTGATGACCCCTCCAAACACTCCATTCAAGGAACCCCCGACGGCTGGATGGGCAGGGCTTCTGATCACACACACATGCATAAAGCTATTCTAGAAATCCGAGTCGCCCAGAATCATTTGCCAAGAACCAGGCATTCCTTGTTGATCTCCTTCTAAGATCGGTATTATCTACGTTGAGCTTTCACAGGGCGTTGACATTCTATCGCCTCCTGTGCTTGTTCACTTGCGGAAGGCTTATGTCATCCGGCAGTGCCTGACGTGGTCTTCCCTTCAGCAAGCGGAAGGGCATCATGCTAGCAAAGGGCACCAACCATGAGCTGTTCATTGGCAGGATGATCTGAATTCTCCTCGCTGGCGGATAGTCACGGGGAGTGGCTTTGCGATGTTCCCCTCAATCCGAGGATTCTTGATTCTTGCGATGAGCATGATTCTTGTCACAATCAGCACATGTTTCTGTTCAGGTCCCTCAATATTTTTTGGGTCGTGGATTGTGTGTCGGAGGATCTCCCAAGGTGGTCCCAGTACAAGGACCGTCGAACACACGATTGCCTTCGTAGTCAAAGCCTGGGAATGTCAGGAACAACGGTGTTGCTTGTTTTGTGTTCGCCACAAAGCCACTGTTTACACTGATGACGGCGTATTTGCGTGTGTATCTGCGCATCAAGAAGTACATGCATACACATGTATGCCAAATCACAAGCTGGGCCCAAGACTCACTGAATGACATTGATATATATATATATATATGTATATATGTTGACATGTGTTGACATGTGTTGACTCTCTTAGCAGTAATTGCGTACTTAAAGGGGCGATCGGGAACTTAGTAAGTGGTGAGTAAGCCTGGTTATAACCCAAAAAAGCCGTGGTTATAAGTCTCTGTTCAGTGGGTTGTTTAACCAGGCTTGCCAAAACCACTTACCTGGCGTACCGAATCAATCGCTCCTTGAAGTATCATAGAAAGAAGCAGCTTTCAGAGCCGGGAATCAAATAGGGGACCAGCTGAAAGCCTCTGGACCATCGAACCGCATCGAGTGCATCGCGTGAAGCAGGTGGCACCTTCTTGTCGCTGAGCTGATCTTGGCACTCCTTGATCTGATGCATAATGCTGGTCTTGTCCTGGCGACACCTCAGCCGCCAATATGTCTGTGGGATATGAATGCCGCATGCAAGAGCAAAGGAGCTACCGTTAAGGTCCAAGGAGCGGGAAGCCTCGACCCGCTGTGAGTATCGGCTGGGAATGCATCCAAAAGTCATGACAACCCCCTAACGAGATCATCCAGAGTCTACCTGTTCAAATCGTTTGACGTACCCTCGGCTCAGCAAGCGCCCCGTATACTAGACAGCAAGCCCGTAAATCAAAAATATAACGGCCAGTTAGGAGGTAGACATGCCAGTAGAATCGCGCTCTCTCTATCCCTCTCTTTCTCTCTCTCTCTCCCTCTCTCTCTCTCTCTCTCTCTCTCTCTCTCTCTCTCTATTTCAGTGCTTCTGAACAACACCTTACTGAGCAAGGACGGATTCTAAGCTTAGGGATGAAGCGAAACGCTTGAAACAATGTAATCCAGCTGGGCTCGCGGCTTGGTGGCCTTCTTGAGAAGTGCTTCATCCTTCTCCTCCAGCTCGTTCAAGGTCAACAGCTCCTGGCCGACAAAAAGGTCCGGCGCGGCGCCATGCGTAGCTCAACACCAGAAAACCCGCTTAGGCCAGCTGCATGTGAAACGGACGCATGGGAAAGGCACCTGATGGGGGGCTCCCCGCTTTGATATGTCTTGACATTGTGTATTCCCCGGGTTGCTGTGGCCTTGTTTGCCTTCAATGCCGTCCAAAGGCCGGCTCTCGGTTTTGTTGTGGGGAAGTCTGCAAGGAGTGGCCTTTGACACAGGTCTCTCTCCTTTTTGTTGTGTATGATCTTTGTTTGCTCGCATGGATTTGCCCCCCTTCTGTAGCGCCTGATGTAAACATGGGGTGCCCTACGGCAAACCCTCTGGACAGGCCCTCGGAGGCCATTGTAAAACAGTCACGTCATCCTTGCGTCCGGAATTGCCGGGCTGCATTTGGAGAGAACTGGGCTGTCCGTTTTCCGATCCCCTTCCAAAAGTTTGAGTGCTTGCGGGTTAAATGGAAATCCAACCACCAAACAGCTAGAAAGCTAAAAGGCTAAGGGGATGGCTGGGAACCACCTAGATACAGCCGTCAAAAACCAATTTGTTGCGAGACTTGAAGCTTCGAACAATCCTGCTGGAAGGCAGTCACTCCCCAGCCACGGAACAACCCAAGGTGAACAACTAATTACCTTCGGAAAGTCTGCAGTTTGCCCGCAGCGCGGCAGAAGACTATCCACCCCAGCTACCATGTGCTTCCCCTTACCTCCCTCTATAAAAGCCAATTTGGATACCCCAGCTCCTTGGCTCCCTTCCAACCACCAGCTAGCCACCCGAAGCAGGAACCCAAAGTTATCCCCGACCCGAATCCCCAAACCTTTGGACTTCACGCCTCGTACAGCACCAGCAGCTTCATGTCAGCATTCTTCAGGTCACTCTCCAGCTTCGCCTTCTCCTGAACATACCAACATGCCAACCCATGATGTTCACAATGGCCTAATCACTTCCCAAACACGCGCCATGCGGGCGGAATCAGACTTCCTATGCACACATCTGCAGAAACGCAAGAAACAAGAAACACTCGGCTGGCGGTACTAGTACATTGCAAAGAGTCGATTGCGCGAGAAGGACGCCTTGACGTCAAAGTGCATCTGATCTAGTAACCAGCCCGGGTGGGTGAAAACAGGACACTTTTATCTAAGGATGATACACATACATATATATATATATATATGTATATATGTTATATTACATACGTGGGCTGGTGCAGTGCTGCAACAGCTATGTCTGGACGCGTGAGCTTCCATATAGGCAGGGTCAAACATCGGGGCTCTTCCGAACGTTTGGCTTCCCGGTTTCTTTCAGGTGGCCCTCAAGCGCTTCGCTAAATGTGACACATTCCCCGACTCATGAACGCCAATGAACAGTCCGCATGGAGATCGCATGCGATATGGTGCTTGCTTCTGTTTCGCTTCCGGTAAAATGGTACACTTGAATGCTGTCTGCCATCAATTTCGCAATAGCCGGCCTTGAACACAATTAATCGCGCACTGAGAAAATCAGCTGAAGGGTACTGGTATACGAGTGCTTGAGCGCTCCTGGCATTCCTGACACGCTGTTGCAAGGAGCCAATTAAGAAGACTTTGAAAATTGCATTGAGTGGATGGGCCAAAAAAAGTCTTACCTTTTTGTTTTCCACCAAAATGGTCCGGACGCAAAAAGTGACTAAAGTCCATGAACTCAGGAAGTAAGTCTTGTGCATCCTTTGGTGACAAATGTAACAACGGAAGATGAACCAAGGCACCCCGAAAAAATCCCCGGGATCCCGGGCTCCGAGTCATCCACAGCAACCTTTGGTGGTTGAATCGTCAAAGGCACCCAATATGAGCAGCTCACAATATTGCTCAAACAAACTCCCAAAACAAATCGATACCCAGCCTGCAAAATCGTTATTGTCCGTTGACATGGGTGGGTGTGTGTGTGTACTATTTGTCAGGGGACCCGCAAAATGGTGGTTCTCGTTTTGGTTCTTGCTTGAAACCACAAACCATAAATACCAACTCCCAAACAAACCCATAAAACAAACATCGCAGGGCCTCAAGTGCGTGCCTCCCCCCTTCCCCGTCCTTCTCAATGGAGGCCACAGCCATGTTGAAGGTGTCAATCACCTCCCAAGCTCGCCGCAGCATTTTCACTACGGCCAAGCGCGATGAAACGTCCGGCCAACTTGGGGCTGTGGATTTGTTGAACGCCGAACTCAAAGAGAACTGTTCACAGAAAGTTCAGAAAGAGTCCCGATATGACTGAGACTCTGTCCGTAAGGCTTACCTCTTAGATAGGTTTCAGCTGGAAACCAAACGACGCTGGCCTACCCCCAAAAAGTGTGTTTTCCTTGTGGCTGCCTTTGAAGCGAACCATAAGGGTATCCTTGAAAAACTGACGAAACCCCATCCCTAGGTGTCGTTTCGGAAAAATAGACTGGTTGTTGATTAGAACTAAAGGAAAACCAGTGGAACCCATCTACTTTTCAAACAAACTCACCTGGCCATGGGTCACAATCCCGTACCCCCCGGAGATCATCCCAATCCCCACCAAAACAGGTTCCAAAATGGGTGGTGCACGTACCCCAAAATGGGATCCAAAACGGTTTTGACCACCACAGCCACCTGAAAAAAACCGGACCACCCAAGCCGGTGTCGCAGGCCTGGCGCACGTGCTCCTCCAGCTGGCCCTTGTCATGGCGCAGCCTCGCCTGGGATTCCACGCCCACCGCCTCAGCTTGCAAGCTTCGACGTGGGATTGGGTTCACCGGGGGGGATCTCGGGCTGAAAATGTTTGGGAAAATACTGGGCTGCCCTCAGATTCCCTGCTAAAAGTTTAACTTTTGGTGGGGTTAAATGGAAACTACCACTAAACCCCAAAAGCCTAACAAGCCAAGGGGACGGGGGGCCACCAAGAATAGATGGCCCTAGTAACCCTGGTAGATGATCAACTCACTTCCTGAGGTGATGCTTCACGAAAAGTGCAACCTGTGTTGTTGTTGCCACTAAAATGGGCTTCCCAAAAAGTGACTGAAGTCCGGGAACTAGGGAGTGAGCTAAACCAATAGGTCTACCGGGGGCTTTCTTTCTCAACTGAACTTGAAAAAAAGGACACCTATCACAGGGATCCTTACACTATACACCTGAACATTGCAACTTGTAATTTGTGGTTTCCCTTGTTATTTTGGTGGCTTAAAATTGCCATGTTTCAAATTGCCAAAACGGAGATCTTTTTTTCGCAGCCCTGTATCAGCTTTGGCTTTGGGAACCGGGAAGCTAGCTTCATTCTGCCATGGATCCAAGCCCAGATACACCAACCTCTTCTGCAAGTCGGCTGGGACAAACAAAAATAAAAACGGCACGGCCCGAAGCCGACCGGAACACATCCATTGCGGAGAAGTGGCAAGCTCGGGTTTCAATAAACACACACATGCACGGGTACAGGCATGCGGTTGTTTGGTCAAATTTTGACCCATACCCGGATGAGCCTCCTGTCAAGCTACAAAATTTGGGCGCATCGCAATTGGCACGCCAATTGGGAAGCCATCATCCCCGAACTGGTGTGAACTGTTGCTTCATCGCTTGAATTGCAATGCGCTGCCATGGCCTGGGGCGACGTGTCACTGTCCCCTTTCCCATGCCCTTGGTTGCTACCCCAAGAGACAACTAAGAGATTTCGACAGCTTTGAACGTCTCATTGGGCTTCTAGACTTGGCTACTCTCAGGTGTCTTGAGTTCAGGACACTTCCTCCCACATGCGTGAAACCATCTGAAGCGACGGCACTTGGGTGGTGGTGCAACGACCGAGATGATGGGCCCCTCCCGTCCTGCCTCCGACAATGGGTCAGCTTTGCCGGATTTGTCCTGACGAAGGCAGGATGCATGGCATCACTCGAAGACTATCCAAACAACATTTCAAATGCAAGTTTCAACTCCATCAGGCGAGATTCTGTCTCTCGAAACAGAGGGATGATGGCCTGCCCTGACCCCCCCAAAACAACCCGCAGAAAGCACAGACACCGCCTCCTCAAACAAACAGTTTGCGCCAATCTGAGTCCGAATGGTGAAGCAAAGGCCTTGGATCCCACTGCGCAGTCCGTCCCCAGTCTCCCTGCCAGAGCCAAGGTTCTCATTCCCTTAGTTGCCCCTTTGGGACCCAGAAATAAAAGGCTCATGACTAAACATGGGAACCCCCAACATGGGAAGAAAAAAATACAACAACAGGTCTAAAGGTCGATTCGCTTGGGACAGCTGTGTTCCACAGGATCTACTTGAGGGGATCTACTCTAGGTCCTCCAGTAGAGAGGTTAGAAGAAGGTTTTTCTGTCTATTTTAGAAGGCTTTTGGCCACACTGGGAAGCAATCATCCCAGGAACTGGTGCGGACTGCGACTTTGTTGCTTGAATTGCAACGAGCTGCCGTGCCCTGCTGCGATATGCAACTGAACTGTCCAATAGGCATGTGAGGAAATGGAACCCTTTCTCGTGGGTATGTCAAGGGACAATTCAGAGATTTCGACACGTTACAGCCACGCCTTCTCAGGTTTTGAATTGCAATGAGCTGCCGTGGCCCGGTGCGACACGCAACTGTCCAGTCGTGTGAGGAAATGGAACCCTTTCTCGTGGTATGTCAAGGGACAATTCAGAGGATTCGACACATTACAACCACGCCTTCTCATCTGATAGGTTTCATTGGGCATGATAGCCTGAATCGTGGTCCTGGGAGCCATAAAATACGAGTTGCAACGCGTACCACACCAACACTAGCACATTGACAATGGGCAACACCCTCAATCGTTCGAGCATGACGTTCAATTTCCTGGAGCATCCCTGTGTCTCTGGTTGGGACTGGAGCGCAACTGAACAGCTCACAGAAGGATTCAGAAGGATGAAGACATCCAGAGATGTTCACAAAGGCAAAACAATCAAATCAAGATGTAACCACAATGCGGATGACGGATCATCACCAGCCCTCCGTCCCAATGCGCGCCTGGAGCAGTTTGGTTCGCCTTGGGGCTAGAGTGGAGTTATGGAACTTCGGCCACACAGCACCACAAATGCGAGTCATAGACTAGGGAATCACCATGGGGTTTTCAACAAACCCAGCCACCACACATCTCTTTGAGATGGTTGCCACCCCGCACCTTTGAGAGATTTCGAATCCGAAAAACAGATCGCCGGACAATTCCGTCGGCACTTCTTTGTTTCAGGCCGGGCAAGCGCAGCAGGTGTACCAATCACAAGGACCCGCATCCTGCCGCCGTCATCAAAATACTTGTTTTCCCAATATAGGACATGGAAACCAAAGGTGAGTCCTCCGGTGTTGTGGAATTTTGGTGAATGCCCACGTTCCTAGATAGACCACAGACTGGAGTTTTCCCCGAACCTATCGATCTTGGGGTTAAGGTCCTTTACATGGGGTGACCATTGGAAAAACCGCCAAAAAAGGTACGACTTTTCACATGGGACAAGGTACCCTCGCATCAAAAACTGGGCCCATTGATCAACCCCCGGGTTCCGCGCAGCGTGAGACGGCCCACCCGGCGCGCTGCCAGCCTCGCTGCTTCGAAGGTGGCTGCTTGTTTAGGCTGAGTCAATGAACCGGATGCGAGCGTGGGCGTCCTTTTAGGGGAATAGATGGCCCTGGTAGGTGATTAAACCACCAGTTAAGCCGGGGCCATCGATTTTTCTACCGAAACAACTAGAAAGGACACCTATGGACGCAAGGCTTAGGCAAAAACAAGTGATACATTCCATTGGGTCTTCCATTTGGGCAAACCTTTTAGGGCTCGGTGTTTTGCTCGCAGAAGATAATGCCCTGGGAAGACCTAGGTTTGGATGTGTGTCCTTGGCCACTGGTTTGAGGATATACGGAAGGATGTGAACCGAAATTCATGCTAAGCTTGCCCCACACCTTCAACCTTCATGACTGATCAAACCTCCATCTTACTGTAGCTTGTTCGCCGCGGGCAGTGGGGTAGAATATACATATATATATATATATATACATACATAGCTACACACACACATTTGTGCTTGCATCTTCAGTCCTGTTTGTTGCTCTAATTTGTGGAAATCGCTCATAATATGATCTTACATTGTGAGGCTCGGTCAAAAAAACAACAACTGGTACTGGTACGGAACCTTTGGCTCATTTGGGAGGCACATGGGGGCAGCACACAACATTCCCCACAAAAACCAAAGGACTCTCCTTGGCTGAATGTGTCGGATCCGAGAAAAAGTGTATGGTTGACTCAGGCACTGATGTTTGGATTGCATGTGGAACCTTTAGAGTAATCAGCTGATGAAAACGCGTGTCGACGTGAAAAAGACAAAAGATCTCAGCTACTCAGGATAACGTTGAGCTCGAACAGAAGTCAGTGATTGCTCGTTTGGCGGCTCACAAAGTGCCCAATCAGAAAGCACCAACCGAGTGATTCTTGGATGTTACAGACGTACTAAAGGGGCAATCGTGTTTTTAGTTAGTTAGTAAACCTGGTTACAACCCACTGAACGGAGACTTATAACCAAGGCTTTTGTGGGTGCTGACCAGGCTTAACCACTTGCCGCCCAATCGCCCCTTGAAGTAGGGCAGTGAGCAAGATGGCGCGGGCCTTGAATACGACCTCGCAGCCCATCTGAGCTCTTCAGTGGAGTTTGGGTCCAAGATTGGTACCCGCAAAACAAGTTGCCCTGGCACATTTCAAAGAAAACAAGGACGACAAAACCTGTGGTTTTTCTGGTGGCTGGACATTCTGACCCAGACCCAAGTAGCAAAGTCTGCCTTTCTCTCAAGCCATGGCTCTGCTTCCATGGCCAGTGCCCGAACGCCCGAACGCACCCGGGCCACCCCGCGCAGTGCGGCCGCACAGCGGCAACGAAGGATGCGGGGCGCCGAAGATCTGAGGCTCCGCGAAGCTTTGGACTTGGGGGGAATGGCATCAGGAGTCTGCATTCTCACCATTTCTGGGCAGGAAGAACCCCAGGCGGTAAGTAACATACCTACCCGCGTGCTTGCTTGTTGTTTTTCTTTTTCGGGGGGGGGGTTAGCTACTTACTTACGGACCTGGGTTCCTGATGTTTCTGGGGGTAAATTCTAGGGGTAACTTCCAATTCCATTCTTTCCAGGGATCCGAATCTTTCTAGAAATCCACCAAAACACATGGGGAAATGGCTGGTTTTTGAAAAGAACGATGGCTGAAAAGAATAGGGAAGCTACCCCCAGGTAAATGTCAGAAACTCATCATTTTGATCATTTCTGGAGGTTAAAGTCCGAAACTGGTTGGTGGTGTCCCTTTACGCTACCACTTGCAAGCGACTTTGATGTTGGCAGAAGTCAGTACATTTCCGTGCCACCTCTGATTTGTAGTCAAACGGATGAGCCCACAAATTGCGGATGGCGGGATTCATTTATTCAAGCTCCTTCTGTTGGAAAAACAAAAAACACAGCCAACAAAAGGCGGCCTTTGACCGCCGACAGACCACCGGCTAAGGCACAGCTCTACATAACAGGCAATAAAGGAGTCATGAGGGGTGCCTCAAAATGCCGTACTGTCGCTATGTTTCCCGCTCAGGTGGTTAACGCTGCCAAAATAGCACCTCGGAATCCATATTGAATGCTTGCAGGGCCTCGTTTATCGATCAAACAATATCACGCGTATCTTCAAAGAAACAAGCAAGAGTTCATCTTTGCAAGATACATTGCAGGGTGGGTTGAACCTTTTCAGCATCAAAGATGTGAACATATCTATCGGCGTCGGCGAACGGCATCTCACATGCCTCGTGAAAGGTCAGACTGGACTTGGCCCTAGTATGTCTTGCTTCATATGGGGGGAAAGGGAATTCGAGCAAAAGGTGTCTGGTATCCAGGAATCCAACACAGAGGGATCTCGGAACCGAATGGCCGGGAACCACCAAGGAACCATGCAATGGCTAGCGCATCAACTCCCGCTGCCCTTTGGGCTGAGCATTTGGATGTAAGTGCCGCCAATCGAACCAGAGAAACAACACCCGAGTCACAATCAAAACCGGCACTAAAATGGTCTACCCAGAACCATGCTTCAGGAATTCAGGCGGAATTCCGCAGCTATGTATGGTTGGGATCGTCTTTTACTAAGCTTCATCGGGCTTTGATTGTGGCTCTGCCTTTTGCCCGGCAGCTAGCCTTCATGCCTATCCTAGGACAAACGAGCTGCGCTAGATGGAAGCTTCCACATGCGCGACGACTTAGCCGTGAGAAGAGCAAACGCCGAGTCCAAGCCCAGAGACAATCCAACCCTAGGAGATTCCAATACAAACCATGGCTAGGTTTTCGGTTTGTAATTATTCGTTACCTCAGCCATACGGTGAAACACTGTCAGAAGATCCACCTGCAACAAGAACACGCGGACCCGAGCCAAACTCGCAAAAGTGCTATCCCAAAGTCAGCACCGCCTGTTGATGCGGAACATGCATTCGGATGCAAAGGTCAAATACCAAAAAACGACAAAACTGGGCTGTCCGTTTCCAGATCCCCCGCTAAAAGTGACTATCTGTTTGTGGGTCAAATGGAGACCCAACCACTAAACACCAAAAAGCTACAAAGCTGAGGATATTCTAAGAACAGAACTCTCAGGAGCCAGGAAGGCTTCAAGTTTAAGTCACACTTTAGTGGTTGACCTGCAACAAGCATGATTGCGATGGGAGCAATAACACGCGTCAAGCCATCGAAAACATATCGCTTGCTGGGTGAGAAGGAATTCTGGACCTGAAACTTCCAGGATATGCTCCCTGCAGCGCGATTTCCTCGCAGAGCCGTGCTCTGTGAATAAAACTGAAGACAAATAGAAGACAAAACACCGTGCGCAGCGAAACACGTGCTTAAGCTTCATCTGGTAGCCATTGATGTGTCAGTTGGCAGGATGAGTTTGGGGATTGGTGTGATCACGAGAGTCACTTCATGCCAATGGGAGACTCGTGCAACCTCCACACCACCGTTTGGAAACCGCTCCCTCAAAGAAAACACTGGTGTGTGCGTGGTCCGCGTTCCACAAACAAGCACATGGGTCTGTTTTCTTTTGGAAGGGTACCCCTTTCGGTGGGTGTTATGAGGAAACCCAGAAAGCAAACAACCATTTTGGGGGTCCCCCCAAAACAGACACACCCATCATGCCTAGTATTAAAGGATGAGATAAAACACGACGCCATATGAGTGAGCCGCGCACCCTCTTCTTGCCGCCGACGGAGTTCTTGCGGCCTCCAGAGCGAGGCCGCACGCTTTTTTTGCGCTTCGGCGAGAGGCCGAAGGAGAACTGGAACTAGCAAGGATGCGCAAGCCCCAAGTGGGAGACGCAGGATGGCCTTGTGGACAACATGTTCTTACAGCACATGCTCGCAACATAGACTTCCTTGCTTCTTGGCCCTGCAAGATTGCCCCACACCCGCCTGTCTCCACCGGTTCGCCTTCCGCCTCCTCAGAGTGGCCTGACTGTCACAGTGTCACAGGGGACCATGTTTTCCCCCTGGCCGAGCTCCATTTCACCTTTCGATGGACCCAAAAAGATGAGGGTCCAATCGTTGTGTCCCCTCCAAAGGGCTTATCGCACCTGTGATCGCCGCCTGTCCACTTCTCAAAATCAGAAACTGGTGTCACAGTTCATGTCAGTGACCTTCAACATGTCGAGAGGGATCCATACTTGAAGGGGCATTGGACTTAGTGAGTGGTTAGTAGCTTGGTTATAAGCCACCTACCATGGTCACAAGTCTCCTAAGTGAGTTATAACCAGCCTTACTAATCACTCCCCGGCCCCTTTAAGTAGGTTGTCATGTTAGAAGTCCAACTTGGGCGGTGATCGTGCCGTAGTTTTACTTTGCTGATATTGAAAAAGCAGGTCGTAGTGAAGGCTCATGCTTGACACGATCCCACTCAGTCAGTCCTGATATCAGGTTCCGATTTATCGTTGCCCCAAAAGAGAAAGCCAACACCATAGTCTGGTGACTCAACATCCAAAAACCAATCTCCAAGGTCCCTGTATTTAAGGCCACATCCCTTACATCTCACATGCGTGTTTCTTTGTATGGCAAATGCGAGCGTCGTTCTCAACCTTGATTTCCGCATGCATGGTTCAGCATGGTCCGAAAACACAAATTGAGCATGACCATAGGTGTCCTTTTGGGGAAAATAGATGGCCCTGGTAGAGGAGTAAACCACCTGGTAAAAAAAGGGCCCTCTATTCTTTTGCCAAAACAACCAAACAGGACACCTATACGTATGACCGTTTGGTATGCTTGCCATAAGATGCTACATGTTTGTTTGCTTTTCCGCCTGGAAAGAGGGCTGTGGTGGCTTTGCGCGAATATGTATGTGACATCGTAGAACGGCATTCTACACTCCTCCTAGCGTCAGGAGCCCCCATTTGCTTGCGAGTGACTTATTGCAGGGAGCGGTTTTCCAGATCATTGAATGGCTGCTTCAGGGGCTAAGCACATGGCACATGAACTAGCGACCAATCCAATGGCGCGAGACTTCAATGCGACGCGGCGTCTTCTGGCGCCTTCATCTTCGTCTTCTGCATCGACTTCATCATCGACTTCCTGGGGCACGTTGCAAACTTAAAGCCCAATACAGAACGTACACGTCCATTTGGTCAAGCCCCCTGGACAAATGAGAACATGTTTGCCGTGAAACAGGGAAAAATAAATATGCTTTAGCAAATGGAAGTACATGCCGCTTCAAACAGCCCCGACTTTGGGTCGTTCTCCTCCCTGGGCGGCCGGAATGGGGGATGATGCAATCCGAATCTTTCCCCAGCAATGTCCGGAAGCTCTGCTTTGGGTTATAGACACTCCCAGCATTTCTAATTTGTCGGCTTGTTCGCTGACTCATTCTCATCTTGACTTGGGTCCCTCCAGGTCGCATGCCCCACCAAGAACGAGCAAAGACCAGTCTGAAGGTCGAGAAAGCGAGCGAGGCAGGAGACATCAAACAACCATAGGGTGCTTCTATAATAGCAAAACAACGTGTTGGTTTCTTCTGGGTACTATGACTAAATCGCTGTCAGGAGTCCTCTCATGACAAGCATGCTATTCCACAATTGAAAGTCGACCGCGCAAATACTGTATACTCAAGTAATGCCGCGTAGGCACAGTACCGACGTCTGCTCCTTGGATCAAGCATGCAAAAAGACCTAAAACCATTTAACATAGAATCGGCTTTGCAGCTTTGCTGCAATGCCCAAGCCATGAAATGTCTTGAACCCACACACCTGCCGGATCAAGAGGAGATGTTCACCCCACAACTGAAGGTCGTGCCGGAATTGCCCCTCATTGACTCTTCAGGGTTTGAGTTTGCAGTCAGGTCATGACTTGGGCCTGTCTCGTCCCCACAGCCGTGAGGGCTTCTCCGGCAAAAGATCTCTGGGAGCAGCGATGCTGAAGCAGCGCTTCAATCAAAAGCGTCGGAAGCAAACATCACAAGGCGATCCGAAACTGGTAGCAACCATGAGCATCATTCAACATCGGTGAAGGCCGAGCAAACTTGAACAAGGTCACTAGCGCTTGGCTCTTTCGGCCGCAATGGCTCCTGTAACTCCGAATCAATGTGCAAACTGTGACCAAAGGCCTCTTCATCCTCCTCATCGAAGTGATCCTCTGGAGGAGGTGGTTGCTCCTGCAGAAAATCCCTTTGTTTTTGGGACCCCCAAAAATAGGGTGGCTTTCCTTTTGGTTTCCCTTCAAAGCCATCCAAAAGGAGGTTCCCCCCCAAAAAAGGAACCACACCCATGTGCGTGGCTGGTGATTCTTGCCTGTTTTCCTTTTGCCTCTTTGCCGAAACTTGTCAAAACGATGCCTTTTAGGGGGTCCTGCTTTTGACCCATGGCTCCGTGGGCTGAACGGCAAAACTCCAGGAATCACAACCAATCACCCGAAGCCATCAAAAAACGTCCGTGCTTTTGTTTCGGGATAAGTAGCCTAAGCCACCCAAAAGAGCAACATAGACAAATTCCTCACAATACCCATTCATGTGGGTGTCTTTCATGAATGACCCCTTCCAGGTGATTGTTTCCTTTTCGCTTTTCAAGTCTATCCAGAACAGGTGTGCCATTTTGAACCAGACGAAATAGCCAAGTGGTCAAGCCACCGCAATTTGGGGCTTCTCAAAATGGCGGGCCCCCTTTTGCTTTCCCATGAAAGGAAACCAACAGAAAACCAACCATCTCAGGGGACCTCTATTTTGCAAAACACCATCCCCTTTTTGAGCAACCCTCATGAGTTTCGTGTAAGCACCAACTAAAACAGCACCACTACAAATCGATCCATGCTTTTACCCTGAAGGGTAAGATAAGTTTGACTCCTCCTAACTCAAGACGATTTAATGAGTCAAAACAAAAGCGCCGAAGCGACCAGGTGCCGAGAAAGGAGCTCTAACGTGAAGCATGCAGGAAAAAACAGCTTGAGGAGAGCTAGGACTTCTTGACATGGTACTGAACAAGACTGCAAATGTTCTCACTTTCTGAGTGGATGGCCCAAAAGAGTAACCATGTTTGTCGCTTGCCACTAAAATCAACTTCACGAAAAGCTTAAAGTTCACAAACTCAGGAAGCGAGTTTTATCGGAATATGCCAAAGCTCGGCACCCCTATTCAGAGAAAAGCGATGAAGAGCCAATCAAAGCCAGATCCTGTTGAAAGAATTGAGCATGTGTTTGCAACCTACACTAATTGAGTCATACCCAGAACCATGTAAGGCCAGTTGTGGGGTCTGGGGGCATGTCTGGGGTGGTGGTTCCTTAAAACAAACATTAATCGAAACCCGGTATCAAGATGGTCGGGACTCAGAGCCATATGGATCTAAAGAGGCGGAAATCCGCACCCATTTATGGCAAGGGATTGCCCCTTGCTACCCTCCAATTACCCGCGTTTTGAGGACGTGACTCATTTGACGCTTAGACATCATAATCTGCACACAATCCGAGTTTCCAGTATCCCCCAAGAAAAAGGATTAAGACATTCCCATCCTACGCCAGGTCTGCATGTTGACGCTGCTTTGCTGGTTGAAATGCAGTCAGGGGACCCTGAAATGTGCAGAAAGTCTCTTTTAGTGCCTTCCTTGCGTCAACAACCTATTTTTTGTTGGGATTCGACCTATACTTGTGAACAAATGTTCTCTAGCCCTTTCTGTGATACAAACGTGAAGGTTCTATCTCCTTAAGCACACAGAAAGTTTCAATTCTCACTGAAGACGGCGACCGTGTAAGATGCTGTACTCAGTTGCCTTTCTGGACCCAGAAATCCGAAAAAGGTCGGCTTGGAACAACTGAGTTTCCCTTCTCACCATATAATGTTGACCCAGGATTAGTAGGCCGTCCCATTACTAGGGGGTGTTCCCTCCAAAAGTGGTCTGAATCCCCACTAAAAGGGGACAACCCCCTCTCATAATCAACTAGGGGTTTCACTTCCGGGGGAATTGCCCTTCTCCGCTCAAACTTTGCGCGCGAAAGCTCACGGAACCTCCACATCGCCACGGAGCTGGGCAGCGAAGGTCTCGAGAAACGGACGTCGAGTCGAGTCCACGACCGGATTTGACGGGAGCAACCCGAGCAATCGTCTACCCCCCCCCGAATCAAGAAAGATTTCCATCCAGGGGTTAAGAGGGGAACAAACCACCTGAGAACCACGAAGAAATTGTGAGAGGTGCACGGATTGGGCGCTTCGTGAGTGCTGGACATTGCGGCCAAAGACAAACAAAGATCACACACCAAGGCTGCTAACCTCAACCGAAGTTGTCCTCCGAAAAAGTGAACATGGCTGGCTCAAAACTTGCCTGTCTATCATTACACGCCAATTCAAGGAGTGAACACTTATTGTGGGGATGTCATTGTATCTGTTCATGCCGTCAACCTATGTCAATGACAATCGGCATCGCACACTTCTACGATGAATCCTCTTTTTTGCGCACATGGTTCCATGACTGCTGGTGTGATTAGTTGACCCCACGTCCCCACGGAGTTTGGCAAAAACATATTCGCTGACTTCGTGATGGAGCCACGGGGCAACTTCGGGAGATTTCAAGCTCATGCCAATCATGTGTCGCTGCTGCAAGCGGTGTTTCTTGTTATTTTTGTTTCTTCTTTCTTGTTCTTTTACTTTGTTGCTTTTTTTCTTTTTTTACGGAGCAGACACCACCGAGGTTGCTTTTTTCAATACAAGCAAACTATGTGGTCCCTCGGTGTTTGTTGCTCCTTCTTTGTTTTGCTTTTTCGCCGTGGTTTTTGGCGGTTCGGTGGTCTGGTGGAGCTTTCCAGCAACCCTCTAGGGGTTCAAACCCGAAGTCAGTAACTCGGTTGCTTTCTGCTCCCCTGCGAAAAGTGAATAAGTTTGAGTGGTTTAATACGGAAAGCCCATTCGTTGGCAAAAAGCTAAAGTCCTAACAGCCAAGCAAAATGCGCCAAAGCAAAGCAATCCAAACCACCAAAGGGTTGCGCGAATTGGTGGTCTGCGTTCCAAAATTGCCTGGCGAGCGTTTCAGTTCACCTCAGTTGGCCCCATATTCCTGGGCTGTCCGTTTTCTGATCCTGCTAAAACATGCTAAAACGTTCACTTGGTAAGTCAAAGGGAACCCCCCAACCAGTTTCTCACTTTCATCCGAAAAAAACTGCTCCAACATAATCTGGGCTGTTTGGTTTCGGATCCCCCGCTAAAATGAACAACTTTTAGTGGGTTAAATGGAAACCCAGCCACTAAGCCCCAAAAAGCTTATAAGGAACCGGATGGCTGGAACCACCAAGATTTCCACGGAGAGTGGTGGAACTTTTGCCCAAAATTCGGAGACCCTGAAATCCCTGGAGCAATGAGGCAAATCCATGAGACGTCACACAAAAAAAGTAACAGTGGACAACCATGGGTATGGGTCAAAATAGAATCACCAAGGGGACCGCAGGTTTTAGTCGTTGGCTTCATTCACCATGCTTCCATTTTGAGTACCTATTTTTGACCCACAGCCACATGTTTAGTTGGTACTGTTTATTTTTCCTGGAAACCACTCGAGCCAAAGCCGGCAGCAAAGAGAATGGATTAGAAAAACCATTTACGATGAGCTTGGTACGCAAGCCTGCATCCCACATAGTCACAATCCTCCTTATCTTAAGGGGCAGGGACCCAAGTCGCCAATTCCATTTATCTAGTCCTCGAAAATGGCACACCATTGGAGATCTCCAGGGGTCGATGTTTTTCTCCCATTCCCCCTTAAAGGGATAACCTTTTGGGGTCATGACTAAAAGTGGACCAAACCTGGAAAAGTAAAAGGTGAAAAGTTTTGAACAAGCGAGTTTTTTAAGCGGGCCCAGTTTCTTTAAGGGGATGAGGGACTGACCCCTATAAACCCATCCAACTCTTGGTTGCTGTTGACCCCCTGCAAAAAGTTGTTAGCTTTTTTGGGGGTTAGTGGAAAACACATTTATTTCAACCAAAAGGTTAACGTCTAAAGATCCGTTACCCAATAGCAGTCAAGAGCTTGTGCTTTCCTTTGATCGGGCACATGTTTTGCTCCGACTCCCCGGCCTTGATCTCGGCCTCATCCAGATCGAAGCGCTTCTCAGGGTACTCCGTGGGAGCTCCTGGCGCTCGCTTCTCCGCGGTTTGAGGCTGGTTAGGGTGTTTCCTACAGCAATTGGACTCCTAACCAAACTGGGCCGTCCTCAAATCCCCTACTAAAAGCTTAACTTTTGGTGGGTGAAATGCTTCCATAAACCCAACCGCTAAACCCTAAAACCCAAAAACCGAAGGGACCGGAAGGCTGGGCTTTCCAGAGGCGGGGGGAACCCTTGGATCATTCCAAGGAGTTCTCATGCAGGTTAAACTGTTGGATCGTCCAAGGAGTTCCCATGCTACGCTCATCCGGAGATGGACCTGTGCAATTCTGACACCGCAAGCCCTCGAAAAGCCTGACCAAGTCAGGATCCTAGGCCTGGCGGTTCTTTGGCGAGACCGGAATATCATGAAGCTAACTGAACCGTGCACAAATGGATGTGCACACATGAGCATCACTCTCCTTAAGGTGTTTGGACAGTCTGATGGAAGTCCGGTCCCAGCTTAAAGCTTCTCTGTAAATGGCTGTCGGTCAAAATTAAACCACCAGGGGACTGCCAATTTTAGTCCATGGTTCCATTAACCAGGGTTCCATTTTGGGTACCTATTTTTGACTCACAGCCAAATGAGAAACATGGAGCAATAGTGTGTCAAGGATCCTGGCATGCGACCTGTTTTGGACTGGGTGAATTATGGCCCGGACGTCTTGCTCTCAGGTCTAAGCATTTATTTGCTGGAGCCTCACTTGAAACCACATTGCCATCAATTTCTGATAAGCCTTCAGTAGTGGCTTGGATTGGTGACTGGGGATTTGAACCCCTGGCTTTTGTAGAGGGTAAATGGGAGTCCTGCAAACCACCGCGCTCCACCACCAAGTCGCGGGAAGCTCTTTTCATTGAGGCGAACAATCTTAAAGGTGATGGCACTGGTAGATGATCCACACCAAGCTGAAACCAGTGCCATCTGTGTTAAACAAACCAACAAACTCTAAAGGACACCATGCACACCTATGGGTGTGTCTTTTGTTCGGGGTACCTTTTTTGGTCGCCTTCACGGAAGACCTACAGGAACATATCACCATTTGGGGACCCCCTGGACAAAAGAGCACAAAACCCGTCCGCTGGGTTTGGAGCCGGTGATTCATGGAGTGCAACAAGTTTTCCTACACCACGGTATTTATCGAGCTGTTTGAGACCTGGGAAGACTTAAAGGAACATCAAACATCACTTGGGGACCCCCCCCGACAAAAACACACAACCCCGTCGCTGGTTTGGAGCCCCCCCCACCCATTTTGGCCCACGCCTTCAGGATTATCCAGGATGCCCGCGACCCAGTCGGTGCTGGTGCCTGGCGACCGGAGCCACTCACACGTGGCGCGGACGCTTTCTTGGCAGGTTTTCACGGAGAGCGGCTTCTGCGGATCTGTGGATGGTTGCGAAATCTTCTTAGGCACCACCTAAAAAACCTTGGGGTGATGCTCCCCCTCTAAATACCAACAAACGCTATGGTTTGCTATGGTTTCAAAGTGGTGCGAAATGGATTTTGCAACCACCCACAGGGCTCAAAAAGGTCCGAGTCCCGGCGCACGAATTGTCCTAAGATCGGCCCAACGGATCGATTCCAGGTCCCAGTTTCGCCCCTCCTACTTCTTGCACCGCGGCAAATGGCCTTCAGGGGAAACGGAACCCTCCCCCCAAAAAGTTGGTCAAAGGGCTGGGGGACCTAGGGATCTTGATGTGAGCCAGACATGGGGGATTCTCATGCATCTTCAAATTCATCATAGCGTGCATCCAGTTTCTGCGCAGATTACCTGTGGAGACCGTCATGTATCGATTTGTTTGCCAATTGAAGATGACTCAAGAGTCGACAATCCCAAGGCGGTCAGTGGCAATGGGTCATGGTCCGGATATTTGCATCCTGGCCGCAGACGACTTACTGAGTATCTCAGGCTTGGTGACTGCATCTCAAACCAAGGAGCCGGGCGCATGGAAGTTTCGACGCACTCAAGGCGTCAAAGCTGGTCGGAACATGGAGAAGAAGCATGGCTGCGCGAGGTTCTGGCAAGCTCCATTCTTGCACTCTGGCTTCAAGATTACGATTGGACCTGGTTGTGTTGAGAATGCCGGCGCTGATTAAGAAGCATGAAGTAAAGCAGCTTGCCCCCCTGGCCGGCCTAGCTGCTCGTCGATCTCTGCAAGAGCTTGCAAATCTCGCTCCACCTGCGGAGAGGCTTCAAGGCTTTGCAGACAAAGAGCCAGCACGGTTCACTACATGGAACATAGTAGAATTGGCTCAAAAATTAGGAAACTTACCTAGCGGCCACGGTTTTTTCATAACATGTTCAACTAATAATCCTAAGGTCGTTGTATCTGAGAGCTTGAAAAATCAATATCCAGAAAGATTAGTAATACTCAGTATTAAAATGGTCTGCCGGTCCACCCAAAAACCATGCAGAGAAATTGAAAGGCGGCTGCACCCATTTATGGTTGGAGTTATCCCTTGACTAGAAACCTTCGTCTTCCCGGGTGTTTATTGTGGCTGAATTGAGTAAATCGTGAAAAACGTGGAACTCAGGGCAGGGGGTAAGCGTGACTGTCCAACACGTGATACAGGTGCTATTTGCTCCAAAAAACAAGCGAGACTGTCTTACAGGATATGTGCTTATACATCCATATGTATGTATGTATGTATGTATGTACGTATGTATGTATGTATGTATGTGTGTGTGTGTGTATGTATGTATGTATGTATGTATGTGTGTGTGTATGTATGTATACATATACATATATATACATGTATGTATACGCATTTGTGCTTGTGCTTATGTTATTTAGCATTATGATCACTATCATTATTATTACTAGTATGTTAATTGTGTAGTTATTATTAATATTGCGGTTGATTGTTGTTGTTATCATTGTAATCATCATGATTGGTATGTGATGTATGCATGTGCACAACACATAGGTAAATGCATACATGCACATTTGCAATCATACACATGCATGTGGTGCTTTGTTGAAAAACAAAAAACAACAACATATTATATATATATATATGCTACCCCCCCCCCCATGGATCCTGGTTGCACTGCCTTTTGGGGATGGCAAATCCAGAATCTCAAAATTTATATTCTCGGAACTTCCAATTCTGGGTCCCAAAAGCCTGATAATTTGGAGCCCGGAGTCCTCCATAATGTCCCAATATGATACCCTTTCCAAATAGGATTTTACTTCAACTAGAATTGGAATTGTGAATATAGTTTAGTAAGGATATAGTATTCAAAAATGTGTTTATGTTCAATTACAGCTTAAATAAGCAAATCCTTTCCATATAGGAGCTACATGAAAATGTGAACATATTTTCGGATAAACTCAAACTAATCTATAACAAAAGAAGTTAGATGAAAGTTGTTTCCCAAATATAATCCAAGTGCTAAATATAATCTAATACAAACACAACTCAATTCGCTTTTGATAATAACAAGTAAATAGAGACTACTTCTCAAATATAATTCATATTGAATATGGCTAAACATTTAAGGGACTTCTACAAGGAAATTCAAAATACAAATTGTGTTATTTACATTATGGTCCTTTTGTAGCATAAGAAAGCTCCGACATTGAACTTGTTAGACGGTGTTCCAAAGGGAAACTTCAATGGAAGAGGTTCACAATCTAAAACTATCTCGAAACAGGGATTCTAGCTAAACCAGTTGTATTTAAAGTTCTATTTGCACCGGAAACAAAATTCATTCTATCTCAAAAGGTGGAGGTAGTAGATGAGCAAATGCGGACAGGTAGTTCAAGAGGGGGGGTGACGGTGTGCGAATGTACATACATATGTATAGGCTTCAGCGGTGCGTCTTTTCTCCGACGCCAAGCACAAGGTTTTGTGAGTTGTGGGCAACCACAACTTCCCTTGAAGAGGTCTGTGGCCTTCGAGGCGCACAGTCTCAAGCTTCATTCTGAATGGAAATTGATCCATGGCAGGATCACAGTTGGTTCACAATACTCCATGGTAGGAGTTGTAACCATCAAACGGTAAAGGACAAAATCCATGGTAGGATTTGTTCTCTCTCCACGACCCCCAACTCGACACTAAGTGTTGAAAGGTCGCCATGCACTTATCATGCGTCTGGCTTTTGCAGAAAACGTGAGGCCTGGCAGGAAGCTAAGACCGTCCATGATGTATAGTTTCGCAACCTGTGGGCTGCCCCATCTGCCCTTCAAAAGAGCAGTCTCCATTGATCCAGTTTGCTGAAATAGAAATGTGGCCCCACCACGCCGTAAAGAGTAAGGTCGGAAGGCATGAGAGGCAAGGTCAAACTTGTCAATGAGTTTGTTGAACCGATTGCGGAAACATTGTGGTGAGTGTGGCCAAATTGGGGCTCTAGAGCAGCCCTGGTCCTTCCTAAGACGCACGACCGAAGTCAGTGTATCAATCAAGAAAGGGTCTGAAAAGGCAACTGTCTCACCTGTAGCAGTGCGTTTTCCCGTTTTAGTGTTTGGCAAACTCAGTATGCCTGTGGCATCACGAATTAGAATGTCTTCAGGACGCACATCCAAAAGCTCCCCAGTGCGTAGCATTGCAAAGAATCCCAATAATAACAAACCAGCAAGGAACAAATCATGATGATCCAAGAGGTAATAAGCCATCGAATAAACAATTGCCTGGGTCAGCGGCGGAGCACGGTTTGGAGCTTCCAGCTTTCGCCATGCACGAAACAACCTCCATGCTGAAGGGATCAGCTTTCGCGTGTATGGTTCAAAATGATGTAGGCCGCAGAGTGCATCACTGACAGTACTCAGGGTCTGTCCTTCTTTCCACGCCTTTTCAACCCAGTCTGAAACGGCTTCATCCAAGTCGCTCAAACTTCCCAAAGTTTCCAGGATAGGAATCAAGAAGCGAATTCCCACAAAATACCGTTGCAGAGTGCGCTCCGTTATAACCGAGTCCGCGAGGGTGATGTTTGCTCTTTGCTTTCTTCTTTCCTTCTTAGTGCGTCTTGTAAGTAGTCTAGGTCGTTCGAGACGCCCCATCTGTTGGATTTTTCGTAGACTCTACATGACCCAAAACCAAGGTCAGTCCATGGGACAGCAGTCGAGCGTTGAGGGCTTTGAGTACTCTATTGAGTAAACGGCTTCCACTACGGCCTTTCCCTGCCACTGACATGCAGACGTAGCTGTCTGTGACATGAAACAACCTCATGTCCAAGGCTTTGTGATGACGAACGGACTAATCAACCGATTGCAGTATAGCGCGAAGCTCCAGTTTATTGATGTGGTCTGCATGAGCCCACTTAAACCGGAAAACAGGTTCCCGAGTCCACCAGCCAGCTTCCACCGATTGCCTAGGATAAGCCTTGGGGTTCATGATGACGCCAGAAGCAACCCTTATGTCTGACCCTGTATGATTGACACGTGTGAGCAATAAGCGGTTCAGACAACTGACCCCAACGCCATCCGAAAAGGACTGGAAACCATATCGCAACGACCTAGACAATGGTGCAGTTAAACGCCATGGAGCCACCCAGCCTGGAGCTAAACCCATTCGATTGTAGAGGTGGTGTACATGAACTTTGGGCATGTATGCTTTGCAGAGCCCCGCGGCCACAATAACAAAAGAGTAGACGCTGAAGGCATCCCCGATCAGAGAAAGTCGCTCGTTTTCATAGCGTGGCGGGCTCTGCTTGATGGTGCTGGCACTGTAGCAAACCTCTGTGTGATTGAACCCATATCCCATAAGTAGCTCACGTTCTGAAGCATCACACAAACGCCACTTCTGATCTTTCCAAAACACAAAGCGGCTCAAGTAATGGTAAGGTGGAAATTTGTAGTGCTCTGCTGCCCAACGGGCCAGAGCATTGCTGTCACAGCGGCTCAGCCCCGCAGGAGCCGGAGGGGGCTGATGTCTAATGATGGCACGCATGGCAGTAGGCAACACCTCTCCTGTTAGAGCTCCTTCCCAGTATACACCTGGCTCCATCCATTGTGAGGGCTCCGGATAGGGTCCTTGAGCCTTGATGTCATACCAGAACTCTTCCTCGCTAATTTCCAAACCATCAACTGCTCTGTCCAAACTCTCACTTGTCCAGCAAAGCCGTGGCCGATTCATCGGCACTGCGTCTGCGCAATTCAAATGCACTGGCCAAACATTCAGTTCTGATGAAATTTCCGAGCAAGCCTTCTTACTCATCGAGGCCACATTTTCCGCAACAAATTTCACCTGGACGAAGTTTGGCACTTCTTTCTTGAGGAGTCTCAAAATGCGAGGAATCTCAAAGAAGAGCCCTGATCGTTCACCTTCGAGTTCACGGCGCCCATATTTGGCTGATGATAGGTCAGTGCATGGAAATCCAGCCCATAAATGGATTTCCTTGATCCCCACATACTGCCGCAGCCACTGCCAAATCTTCTCTTCGTTGATCTCCCTAACATCCGAGCAGATTTCCGCATGTGGCCATCTCCTCGAGACCACTCTATTGGCGGGACCATGGATGTCATAGCTAATGAGTCCCATAGGTACTAGTCCGAGTACGTCATAGCACCTGAACGATCCCAATTCCGTTAAACAGAGATAGTACCAACACTGGGATTCGATGCAAGGTGTTGTGGCAATAGTGCTGCCTGGAAATAATCTTTTCCGCAGGAGTTCAAGGTGTGGCTGATCCCCACAGCTCCCCCGGTCATTGAAGCATCCGAGGCAGTAGTGAACTGGGAGATTCCTGCCTTAAGATTGGTATGCAGGAGGCAAGCTGAGCAGCAGATTGCCACCAGCTCTCGCCTGGCCTTTAAAAGCAGTCTGGCGTTAAACTTCTTCGCATGAATGTACTCCCACACCTTCTCCAGGAATGACATCCCCGGCCTTCGGAACTGCAGTATGTGTACCCAGCGGCCAACCACTACCTGTAGGTGCTTCTTGTTCAGCTGCCCAGTGCGCAGTATCCAGAGGGTGGCTTGTACAGTTTTCAGAAGTCTCATTCCTGAGGGTCCGATCGTACCAGTCACCCCATCGATGTAAGCACCAAGCTCTTCTCCCTGTGGGATTCCTGCCTGCCTTTTCTTTTCCGACGACAGTACATTTGCATCTTTCCAGGCTTTTTCAGCTCTTTCATGAAGCGCATCTCCAGCTAAGGTTTGCTCTTCAGGGCCAATTACCTGTCCAGCCGCGAAATTGTCCAGGTACACATGCCACCAAAGTCTGCGCGACTGCCGCG